CTCAAGCAAACAAAATAACAAATAGCTCGAAGAGATATATCGAACGGGCCAAAATTAACGAACATGCAAAATGACACTCTCATTATCATCCGGTTATCCCAAAATCAAAATTAAATCCGAGACACGGTCCCCACATAATGAATCGAACGAAACAAAAACCCGTTCCAAGTCATTCCACAAATGATCGCTCGAGTCACACCCCCTTATTCACATATACGTGCAAAAACCATAAATGATCTACAAAACATGATAATAAGCACGAGATCAATAAGCCAACTCCCCGATTTTCTTCTTTTTTCTTTATATTTTATATATTTTTTTTTTGAATGAGCCACTTTTTCCAAATGAAAGCCGTTAGGACGATTATTACCTAGGTTTAACCTCGGGGTTTGTCCCCGAGTCGCCTAGGCCGGTTTCCCGTGCTCGTTGACCCGATCTATCTAGAAGATTAACCGAGCCAAGAGGAGCCTAATCCTTTCGACTCCCACGAACTCATTTCGTGAGCTTCTTTTTCCAAACGAGGTTTCCGGACGAGATGATCTAGGTTTGACCTCGAGGGGTTTCCCCGAGTCTCCTAAACCGGTTTCTCGGGCTCATTATCCCAATCCACGAATGGCTCGGAATAAGAGGAGCCTAATCCGTAATTCCTCGCGAACTCACTTTTTATTCCTTTTTTTTTTAGGGAGAGGCACACAAGGATACATCACAATTCCAATACATGATCATCACAAATCAATCGAAACGTACCACAAGTGTATAGAGAACACGTTTACAACGATAATCGAACATAAGGAAAGCATGTCTCAAGACAACCAATCGAGAACAAACAAAGGACAAAACAATTCCGTTAATCCACATGCGAGTTCCAATGTCAACGAATCATCAATCAATCAAAGGAAACGTCAAATTCATCAAGTACATCAAGCATGAACGTGAATAGTGAAACCAATCAATAATCTCGACTCACCACTTGGCTATCTCGACTCTCGAACAAACATCAAGTTTCATGCGGGAGAGATGACACAAACACACAAAAACTCAAATAAAACCGGTCCACGACACAACAAAAATGAAAAATAAGGCACAAAAACGAAGAGAACATCACTTAAACATGCATAATCACGAAAATCCCTCCCCCACACTTCAAACAAAGCAATGTCCTCATTGCTTGACCAAAAAGCATAAGGAAGAACACGTAATCACATAAGCCCATGCGAGAAAATAAAAATAAAAACAAAACGAACTAGACAAACGAGAAAAAGAAAAGAAACACATAGCACAAAGAAATAAAAAGAAAATGAAAATAACGAAGGGAAAAGAAAGCGCGTACTCTACACGGTGGTGTTCCACCATGTGTCTAATGGTGTTAGTCCGGTGAGAATACGAGAAATAATCCAAAGGTCCTCGAGTGCAAAACAAAGCCATCCAAACGAGTGAACAATAAAAGCATATCGATCCATAAGCCAACCGAGCACTATGGTATTTGAAAGCATAAGAGAATCCCATCTTTAGGCACCAAGTAATGGCCACATGTATGCGTCTCGGAGAGATAATAACTGAGAATCCACAAACTCGACGTAGACGCACGTATCGTGAAAGATCATTCGGACCTCTAGCCCATAATAATGCTCGCCATGGCATGACCCGACCAACTTTTCAATCAATACATACCCTCAAGCACAACCGAGCACCAATGATATAGTGAAATTCAAATTAAACACCAAAATGCACCACATTTCACCTAAAATAATCAACAATAACTCCAAACGACCCTCACACCGAAAGACACTAGCCAAAATCCTCCAAATGATCAATATATACTCACGAGCCCCCGATACACCTCCCCCACACTTAGTATATATCACCTCCAACTCAATAAAGTCACGCCCAATTCAAATACATATGGCACGAGTAGGTCTAAGTGAGTTACCTAATAAAACGATGATCTCGATGCCAAGAGTAAGAAAAATCGAGCAATGAGTCGTGTCCAAGCTCAAAGAGAGTGAAAAATCCAAGAAAAACGGGTGAAGGAGATAGAATCACCGCAAAATAAGGTTTCCGGCGGCTCCAACGGCTCAAAACGGTCCCGGGAGGTCGAAAATGTCGTTTCCGGCCGGAAAATGTCGACGGCGGCCGGAAAACGGGGCATGGGAGGTTCGCCGGAAAATT